GATAGTAGGAACTGCAGATGCTCGAGCATCTGCAGTTCCTACTATCTTTATCCTATTCATCTCTCTTTGTAAGTTCTCCCATTTTTCATCCATTGTTTTATCAATTAACTGCTCCAGTTCAACATTTAGACCCCTAAAATCTGCCCATTTCCAGTCTATGATCTTAATTATTAACTAATTTTTGTCATTTTCCAATTTAATATTTAATCTTATATTATGATTGCTATTTCTCAAATGCTCCTTCTGGGTTCTCCACTGGCCTACCTCATTTCCTATGACCAGATCCAGCACAACTCCCTGCCCGGTAGGACTGGAAATGTACTGTTCCAGAAAGTTCTCCTGCACATGTTGCAAGAATTTTCTCCCCTTCTGTGCCCCACACTCTCTACCTTTATGGCCGTCTACTCTGTGGTAATTGAAATCACCACCAATCACAACCCTACTTGTCCTGCAGATTTCCATAATCTGCCTTCTACTTTGCTGCCACTGTTTGGAGGTCTCTAATAACTACCCACTGAGTTCACTGCTCCGTTGCTGTTTCTCACCATCAACCATATAGATTATAATTCAGGAACTACATCTCGTTCAAGGGCAATGATACTGTCTCTGTCCAGGTCTGCTACATCTCCTCCCTTTTTACCCACCCTGTTTTTACAAAAAGTTTCATAATCTGAGCATGTTAGTCCTTTTTTGGCCGGAACCACGTTTCTGTCAATGCTTCTAGTTCCCCAATTTTGTTTGTGATAGTCCATGTATTTACGTACATACAATTTAACCCTGCCCTTATCTCTTTCTTGACCATTGGAAGGCGACCATTTCTTAGTTCACTGTCAACAATTAAACCTTCCATCTTTTTCCCCATTTCCATTCTCCTTTCTTTTTCCATCTCTGGTATTTCCAAGACTTGTCCCATTAGTCAACCCACCCCCTACCTTACAAGTACAGCTTAACCTTCTTTTTATTCATCTTCTCATTTCCTCTTCTAGAAATTAGACTGACTGGGCATCCACTATAAAGGGGAAAGCAGTATCCTAAAATGAAATGTAGAATGGAATCATAGAATCCTTACGTGTGGAAACAGGCCATTTTGCTCGCAGAGTCCACACCAGACCCTCCCTCCTACCCTAAGACATGGTCATGTTGCAACGTTATCAGTGTTTACTTATGGAGAACTGGTATTGTCTTCCAGAACGTAAGACAAGGGGTCTCCAAGACCAAATCAATATTCATAGAGACCTCCTGAGAGCATATCAGTATTTCCTCCAAATAATTGTTTGAAAAGCATAGGATTTGTCTGCAACTAAAGTACGTTCCCCTTTTTATATGTAAAGTTGAAACAGCATCTCACACTGATTGGGTCTCAAGGGAATACATCTTTTTACTATGGGGGAAAACTAGGACTTATTGTGAAAAGGCTTTTGCGATGAGCTTAGGCAGCAACTTTTGATTATAAAGTGACCTTTTTACTATACTGTTGTCATTGCACCACAAGGACAAAGAAACACAGAAGCTTTGTGTTTAGCCCATGTTTTTAAATGAAATGACCTATAAAAGCTTTCTCTAATCTTTGCTTCTAATTACTGGCTGAACTTCTTTAAACAGTGCTCTAGAATTCAGCCAATTACCACATATGCTAAATCATTTCATTGGGATGTGGATGTTTCATGTATAGTACAAGTAGGATAAGGACTTTCTTCTGTCCTTTCTCCGAAGCAATCTCTCCTGAAGTTGAGATAGTAGGAACTGCAGATGCTGGAGAATCCGAGACAACAAGGTGCAGGGCTGGATGAACACAGCAGGCCAAGCAGCATCATAGGAGCAGAGAGGCTGACGTTATTTTCTTCACTGCAAGCCTGTTTTTCCCCTTTCTCATTTCCAATTTGAAACCACTATGCAACCTCTGACACAACTACCTCCCCCAAACCATCAATCCCATAGTTTATCACCCCAAAGCTACCTTTTGATCACTACACGCAGACAATCTTTGATAACTTTGTAGTTTCACACTCTCGTGACGTCTTTCTGTTTGTAATTCCCTTGGCAGCTTTCTAAACTGTCTTCATTCTTTTTAGGACTTTTCACACCTATAGTATAGCCCCTTCTCTTCAACCATAAAAATTCATCTTTGACGCTGCTAATGAACTTTATCACTGAAGTCCTATTAGCAAATGATTCATGATTTGTTCTTTCCTGCTATTTCATCAGCATATTCCTTCTCCTGTACTCAGTTTCTCTTGCTGTTAATATTTGACAACTTCTGTGCTGTTGTTTTTGCTGTCCCCACAAGGTCGTGGTGCATGTATCCCAGGATTGCTCTTGTCCCCTCCTTTTCATAATTCATATTCCAACTGTGACATCTAAACAGGCAATCGGGTTTCATATGTATACACAGTCAAAGAGATATATAGCATGGAAACAGACCCTTTAACCTTCTACTTTTACTTCCAAGGCTTTGCTTGAATCTGCAATTATTTGCATGACATCAAGTTTTGGATGAGTCAAAACTTTTTTATAGGCAAAATTGAAACTGACCTTTTTGATTTCTTTTAAGTGCTTGTGCCTGGAATTCCATTAATCCCCTTGAGCTCACTTCAGGCTAAAAATGATGAAGCAAAAACTTCTTTTGCTTCTTTCCATTTATTCTCTGTTTAAAAGCCTTTTGTAACACTCGGTGTTCACTCCTCCTCCCCCTCCATGCACCAAATTTTATCAATTTTTAATCAAAGTCTTTCTATCTCAAAGTTCAGTATACTTTCTAAATTGACATCTATATTTCCACAAACTATAAATAAGTCAGAATGTTCTGTTGTTCTCCAAAATGTTCACTTCCATACAATGTTATCAGGCACTTATGAATGTGCTGTTGGTGTCTTTGTGCCAACCCCTCACTGTCTCAATGATTGCTTCCACCCCTGTGTCCATCCTTGTGCACCTCTCCACTTCATTCCACTATTTGGAATTTGTCTTACAGCTGTGCAAAACTGCCTCTGCAAATCCTGCACCACTAAAATCTAGGCTTTTTATTTAACCTGTTCTACTGGTTTTGAGACTTGGATGCAATTTAGCTTTTACTATTTTTTTCTTCATATCAAAGTGGATGCAAAGAGAGGGTTATTTAATTGAAAAACCTGGGCTAGATTAAGCCTAGTGTTGGAGAGATCATGGAGCCTGAAGTCTGAAAATTGTTTTTGTGTCTCCCAACTCCTCCTCTTCCGGCTATAACTGAGATGTGGAGGTGGCGGTGTTGGACTAACCTGGGCCTCTAACTGAGGTAAGCAGGAACTTGAAATATAACAAGGCTGTCACTATTCACCTTTTGAATTAGGGCGCGACTGTCCAAATTTCTAGATTGTTGACAAGTCTGGCTGCGTCATCAAAGCTACATCTTGGATCCAAGTACCTGCCTGAAGACTCTTCATGATTGGGCACTCTGCAACTGACCTTGCCCCCACGCCTCTGCTTGGAGAAATTTCTTTCCTTTCCTTGTTGTATGATATTTAGTAAAGCTTTAATACCCTATGCTGAAGTCTTGAGTATTGTGTTATTGTTAAGTTTTGGCTGAGAAAATATCAAACTCACTTCCTAATAAGTTCTGAAATTATTTCTTCTTGCAAATTTCTGTAATTCAAAAACTTATTTTGCTGAATCTGCAAGTTTGGGAAGGGAAGAGTGGATATTCTCTTCAATCTCTTTCACAATACTCCTGCAGTATTCTATTTCTGTTTGAGTCATAGGACACTGTATCAAAAATATTATTCCATGTGTTCTAGTATTGTTCATAATGAACTAGAAGTATACTCATCTAACAATAGAATGTACTTGTCATTGGTTATATTCTGGACTAACATGGTAACACGCTAGTCTGTGAACAACTCCAGTAAACGACAAAGATAGAACTACTATTTATATAGCATCTTCCATGATCTCCCAATGTCCTAGAGCATTTAACTTCCAAAGTACTTTCATTAACTGTTTACATAAATTTGAAAGCCATTTTGCAGTCTGCAACTCCTCAAACAGCAAGGAGATAAGTGACCAGATAATCTGCAAAGTATTGATAAAGGGGAAAATTGTTGGTGGAAATAGAAGGCTTTCTCCCTTGCTGTTCCCTGATTAATACCATAAGGTTCATTATAGCTACCTGAGAAGCAAGTGGGGTCCCCAGCAGTGCCCCTGTCTTCAATACTCATTTAGTTATGTAATTAAATGTCTGCAGTGGAACTTAAAACCATGATCTTCTGGCAGAGTGATAGAAATAGCATGACTGAGCTAAGGCTTGCAACTAGTTCAGTAAGCTGTGACCGTGCAACTGCAACAGTTCTAATACACTCATGAATTGCTCGTGAGGTGTATAATTGGTTTGTTTGGAACAATTTAAACAGCTTTGCATTTTCCATTTTTATTAGACATTTCTTGGTTTAAAAAAATGAACTATCTAAATAGCCTTGTGTTTGACACAACTCAAGTACTCATGTAACTACTGAAGTTTAT